AACACTTTGGTCCAGTCCCTGTGACACATTCATATTGCCATACTTCAGGTCGACAAACGTGGACCACCTGTTTATCCCTATCCCATGCTCGGATGCAGAGGACTCACTGGAGGTGCTGAAATTAATGGCATCAAAGTAAGGGTAAGCCAGGCTCTTGAAGGCTTTGGCTGTCAGGTTGCGCACCTCCTTGTCAGCGTCGTCCAGCTCGCTGACAGCGCTGGACGCACCGCTGGAGTACCCGGTGACCTCTTTTCCCCTCAATTTGCGGCCAAAGTGTAAGCGTCCGGGCGCTGCTATGAAACACTTCGCCCTGTCACACAACGTCTCTGCCTTCCCATCAACTCCCCTAAACACATAGCGGCTCATGTCTCCGGAGCGCCTGGCATGATAAAGAATATTTCCCTGTTCTTGGATAGGGTCATTTATAGCTCGAGAAGTGGTTCTGATTGACAGGTGGATCTGTCCCGCACTGTTGCCACTGCACTGCTGCTGCTGTGGCTTTGACACACTCTCATCTGAGCTGGTGAACTTGGCCGCGTCGCACAGATCACTTTCAAGCAGAGTGCTGACTGCTGCTGCGCCCTGAGAGCGCGGCTGGCGGCCGTCCCCCCTCTCCCCCGCCGCTCCATCAGCGTCAAAAGACGCGTAATCGACAAAAGAGTACACCTGGTTGTCATCCTCAATGTCCCAGCTGGTGGAGGAGCCCGCCCCGAGGTCGTAGTCCCCCTCATGATCGGAAAGCTCCGAGAGCTGGATCTCGTGCGTCGTAATGTAATGGGACTCGTCCTCCGTTACGCACTGGGCGTAATCGCCGCAAAGCACCAAACTAACATTATCATCCTCCTCATAATCATCCGACTCACTTCTCCCGCTCCAGTAATTATCACTGCTTTGTAATTCCTCGTCTCCTGGTGTGTTTTTGTTGTCTTCTTTTTTGGGCACCTCGGGCTGCGTTATGACGCGCTCGCTGTTATCTCCTGGTTTCGGGCGATCATCTGACTTTACGTTAAGACGAGGGCGATCTGAGGACGAAGGTGGATCAGAGGGACCCTCCTTGACATCTTTTGTACATTTGCCAACTCCAGCATTCTCTTTCTTCTTAGTTTCAGTCTCAGTTTTAATTGCCAACTCATGGTTTGGTTCCGTTGCGCGCGGAGCTCCGGGAGCGCTGCTGTTAATAAGCACAGACATTTGCTTTCTTTCTCCAAAGCGACAGTCTTTCTCCGGTTTTACGCCTGTGTTCACGTCCACTAACTCCAAATCGACGTATTTGCTCTCGTCTTGCTTCTCCGGGGCATCCTCTT